ACACACACGGACACACAGCACCACACTGTCTCTCATTCACACACATACACAAACATAGACAGCACCAAACACACATGCACACGCATGTGCACACACACTCGCCACGTGCGCTTGCTTGCTCACTTGCTCGGGAGCGATTTTGTGAGACCGCCCACTCCTGTTAAAATTACGTCAGAGTTACATTATATTACATTACATTACAAATCTGGTCGGGTCCCGCAACAATGCACAGGTATGGATGCAGGAATGCATACGACCGAAAGGAAAAGAGAGGGGTGGAAAAGTCACGCCAGCAGGTAAAATGGGCCACAGTGAAAGAGAGAGAGAAATGGAGTACTTTCATTCCCTCAATCACAGAGAAATAGGGGCTTTTGCTGTAATTGTCAGTGAAAGACTGTACAGAAATCACACACACGCAGTGAAATTGTGCACAGTTGGCGCCAGGAGTGTTGTAAATACCCGTGTTCACCTCCCTCGCAGCAGAACACACATGAGGTAAATGACGGCAGTACTTAATAACCGGTTATGATTGTTTCTGAACCGATACCAAATTGTCTGCGTCTGCATCGCGGTGCACCGAAGAAACAATTCATTTTGACACCCCTACTAAATAAGCTACTTATGTCTTTTTATTGCACTTTAAACTAAATACACTGTAAACAATTCTGTAAACTTTCAGTTTTCTGTATTTTGTGATTCATGTTTTATTTTTTTTTCTGTTTTATGTTTTTGAATTGTATTATGGGAGCTTGACCTTTCTTTTAACAAATTTTAGCCTTGGAAAAGTGACTTTTATTAACACTTAATAGTTTAAATTGATATATTGTGTTGGTTGGTGCTGTATTTTACAGCACAAACCCGTGTAATAAACTGCTAGTACTTTTTCAGTTATTTTACAGACTTATTTATCCATATATCATTTTTTTATACATTGCATTGTTTCAAACTTATTGTCGTTTTTTATACAAAAATGACAATAAAAGTCACTTTGTTAAACTGTAGAGTTGAATTTTCAATATCAAATGTCAACATAGCAGAGATCAACGTCCCATAATGCAATTCACAACCTTAAATAAGCGAAAAACACTTATAAATCACAAAATACAGAAACAGTGTACTAATATCATGGGAAATAACTAAAACATATGATGTGCCGTCATCATGGAAAAGACCCAATAAATTTTTTATTAGGAATTATTTAATAAAATGGTGTTTAAAAATGTGTTGGAAAAATAAACTTCTTTTCATTGAACTACACTTGGGAAATATTTAAAAAGCAATTGAAATTTTCACAAGAGGGTCAGTTTGTTTTCAAGTGTTTACAACGTTAGGTCTTTTTTTTGAATACCTCATAAGGAGGAACGATTAGTCCAGATCTTTAAAACAAGTGAGTTTGTTGGTCAGTTCAGCTCATTTTCCAGAATTATTTTAATTTTTAAATAATCTATTTGCAGTTCAGAAACCCTAGATATTAGTGACACCCATGACCCATAATTATCATTATCAATAAGATTTTCCATTATATATTGTAAAATATTACATTGAAGTTCTCAAAAATAGTTACAGTACAGTGTATTTTTTAAGTCCCCAAAAAATCAAAACTAAACAAATGATTATGTTAGCTCACATCACTAGTTTTGTGGTGAACAATTCATCTGTGCGTGTCATTAAGAAGAAAAAAATGTTTGCGCGTCTAATCTTTAATTGAAATCTGAAAATGCACTTCCTTTTTTTTCACTTAAATTGTCAGATTATGTATATCTTAGGAATTGGGCGGGGATAACATCTTTAGCCACGCCCCTCTCCCTGTCAGTTTTGAGAGAAAAAAACAGAAATAATAAGCAGGAGGAGTCTGTTAGGTTGCAATAACTCTTCTAAAACCCCTTTCCCGATCGTTCTGAATCAATCCGCAGTAGAAAAAAACAAGCCACGCTCACTGTTTTCTCATTTATAATTCTGTTTCTCTAGGAACTGTGTCACAATACGAAAAAAATAAATAAATGATCGCGCAGCTTCCGGTTTAAGGGGACTTTAAATAATCAGGTTATTTAGACAGTCCAGTGCACTTGAAGTGAGATGTATCATTTAAAAAAAAAACATCTCTGTTTAACATTTGCCTTTCACAATGCTTTCACAAGTAGGATAATTATACATTATCCTCAACAGAAAATGTAGAGGAACAGGAATAAACTTGATCCAACAAGTCTTTAGCTTGCTGAAGCAAACCAAAACACATGCTTTGCCAAAAGTAATTTAATGCTCATGATTTACACAAGCAAAAAAGTGTGTTAGGCCTGCTATAATTATCACAAATCCATCTGGAATTTAAACTGTGAACCTGAATGAATGATTTGTCATTTTACTGCATACAAAAATATGTCAGAAAGGACAAATAAACCTAATTTATAGTATGCATAACTCAACCCTGTATTAACATGGGGCTTTTACTGAAATATACAAGGCTGAGGAGAATGTTTTTAAGTAATCAAACCACTTGAATTGGTCATGCTGTTCTTTAAAAGTACACAAGATTCAGGAAGTTACCCAAAAAAACTGGATCGAGAATCTCACCGTCAGCTGACCTTGTTGGCTCTTTGAGATCAACTCGGATTAAATAAGTACTCTTACATAACCCTACAATGCCACTGCAATAAAAAAACTGATACTGAACTAGCTTTTAATTGGGATACAAGAAACAAACAATGCTAAGTATATTTTAGCAATACAGTCAACTAACAGAGGTCAACGTTGTGATTGGGAGACAGTGTCACAGAGCAAAAGAATTGAATCAGTTCTGCAAGTAAAGTTACCACACAAATGTCTATTTTTGTTTATTACACTTATTTTATCAGAGTTACCTTCGTAGCTAATATAAGAAGCGTAAGCTAACGAGTGCACGTATGCTAATATGTCCAGGAACAGTGACGTGCTGATGTTCATGCCTACTAGCTTCAGCGCACTATTCTTCAGCATTGAGGCTAGTTAGCATTAGCGGGAAGGATTACGATGAGTAAACTTTTCCCTCCCTTCTCCATGAGGATTTGTGAGCAGGAGCTGGCCTGGTTTAACTGCTTTGTTAAATCCCCTAGAAGCTTAAATTAGCAAAGACAAAAGGGAAATGTGTTAACTTTATCCACCATTGATCTATTAAATCACCTTTTGAAAAGCTGTCTAGTATGTTTGACAGCTAAATACCAGAGTTTTCAAGAGAAAGTTATTACTGTACGAGTAGTCATAAACAATGTTAGCATTGAATTTGTAGTAATTTTGCAAATTTGGAGAGGTGACATACAGAAAGTTTGTTTAAATAAATTGGCATAATTCATAAAGCAGAAAAAGAGAAATTATTGGGATGAGTCTGTAAGATGTTTTTTCAGGATTTTATTTTTTTTTTAAGTTTTTTTTTTTATAGAAGGTTCTCCAATGCTGACCAAAACGTCTCTGGCCAAGACCAAAACAAACCTTGAATGCATTGGAGCAGTTTGGTCACTTAAAAAAAAAAACCCTTGGCAGACAATTGCTAATTAGTGAAATACAAAAAAACATTGGAAGTTTGGTGTTATAAATATACACAAAAAAATCTATATTTTCAAATGATATCTAGAATATTTTTCCCAATACGTTTAAAAAATATCTAAATAAATAAATAAATAATTAAATAAATAAATAAATAATAAATAAATAACACACAAAAATGGCAAGAAAAAAAATGTTAAAAATTTTAAGCTTTAATATTTGCTTCTTATCCCCAAAGTTAGCTTGTAAGCATTATAAACAAATCCGCTAGATGTGTGTATATATATATATATATATATATATATATATATATATATATATATATATATATGTTTTTTTTTTTGGATTCAGTAATAGTCCAAAAAAAAAAGTTACACTTATCTTGTTAAATTCTTTTTCATTCATTCATTTTCTTTTCAGCTTAGTCCCTTTATTAATCAAGGGTCGCCACAGCGGAATAAACTGCCAACTTATCCAGCATTTGTTTTACGCAGCGGACGCCCTTCCAGCCGCAACCCAACACTTTGAAACACCTATACACTCTTCCATTCACACACATACATTACGACCAATTTAGCTTATTCAAAATGTTTTTGGACTGTGGGGGAAACCAGAGCACCTGGAAGAAACTCATGCAAACACGCAGAGAACATGCAAACTCCCCACAGAAATACCAACTGACCCAGTTGGGGCTCGAACTAGCAACCTTCTTGCTGTGAGGCGATCGCACTACCCACTGCGCCACCGTGACGCTCTTTATTCTTTTATGTTAATTTTTCTGCGTATGTGTGTTCGTGGTGAAGGGCAAAACTCTTTACAGAGTTTGTACAATTTGATGAGAGAGAGAAAAAAACTATCTAAAGCAAAAATTAACATAAGAGTGTTCATGAGTGTTTGATTGGTAGTCTCCTCAGACATCAACAGACTGACAACATTCTGTCATGACATTCCACTGCACTTGTCCACCACCCCCTTTAGTTTGGCCTCTGAGAGCCTTTCACTCTGACTGCCCATGCAAACACTCACTGCGCCTGAACAAAAGCACAGCAAGGGAAAAAAAGGCCATCAAAGAGCCAGTGTACAGTGAAACCATGCTGAAACTCGAAACAATCTTTATTGCACGGATTAACAGATTACAAAAAACATAATAATGAAAGTAAGAATTGAACATGTTTCCATCAAGGTCACCAGACGGACTTCATTTTAATATAAAAAATAGATACAATTTTAAATGCAAGCAGCATGGTGAGCATGATTTCATGATTGTCGTCTTTCAATAAGTGTATAATTACTTCATAGAAACCCTGTCTTAAATAGATTTTTCATCCAAAAATAAAAATGTGCTGTTAATTTACTGATGCAAATGTGTTTCTTGTGACTGTAAGGTAATAATGTTGTAAATAATGCTTAGTTTAAGAACTCAATGTACTGTGGGCAGCCAAAGGTATTATTATTTATATTTTTTACTTATTTTTTTTTACACAAAAACTAGGATCCATTCAGAAGAGTTCATCCCCATGCCCTAATTCCTTAGAAGGGGCTGTCTGAAGGGATCAGTCCTTCCAAACTGAGTGCACTGTGACACCAAACAACTTCCCTATTCAAAGGATGGTGGCCTGCAGTGTCAATCAGTTGTATTTGTCGAAAATCCTTTACTCCAAGGGCCCTTCGAAGTAGCCGGTTTTGAACATGTTGGTTTGGAACGACACTTCAGTATGGCACCCATGATTTCAAAACCCCACTTGGAACGCACAAAAAGTCTTATTAACCACCAAGAACCACCGCTTCAACTGGAAATGTTCTTGTTAGAGGGCCTGAATTTGAGTAAATTAACAGCAAATGTTTGTTTTTTGGGTGAACTATTCTTTTCAAATAAACAAAAGCACTCTTCAGAGGAGTCCGTCTAGTTCTGTTCTTGTTTCTGTACGTGATGCTGTCGAGCCACAGCTGTGATCAGCGCCGCTCCTTTGCCACTGCCGTCCTCTGAAAGGATGAAATCCACTTTACAATTGGGCGCCAGCTCTCTGACAGTCTCCTTTAAGATCGTGGAGAAGCTGCAATGAAAAACGACATGTGGTCAAGTTTAGTATATAAAGCCAACACTGATCATTTGTTAATATAAAGGCATTCTGCTGTCTTTTCTTACTGTGGATGTAACTTGTAAAGAGTGCCATCCACTCCAACAGTGATATCCAGACGATCCAATCCACGGTTCTCTCTGATTTTATCCACAATTGCAGCCATTCCTGCTCCACAGAGCTGAGCTGCTCGACGAGAAACAGCTCCACAAACCTCCTTCACAATAATACTGTCATCGCATGTGCTGTCCAGACCCAGACTCTGCAATATGCACCTCACTTGCAGTAGTGCCAAACGGTCACTAGGCAAATGGGAAAAGCCGAAGCGCAAGTCATGAATAAACTATTATTAATTAATGTTTCCAGTTCATTGTTTTCTTCAAATGGCACAGAAGTGTGCAATATCTCAATTTAAACTGTATTCTGTCATGACAACTGATGGAGAGATTTAGTATGGTAATGAATATGTACAGTGTATGGCAATGTTGATGTGTTTGGTCTTGGCGGCATAGAACTGCTACGCTGCTGCTGCTTTGATTATTATGGCAGAGCAAGTACCGACACTTGGAACTTCTAGTACAGTATACTCACAGACATTCAGTCTGAGAACATAACACACTACTGCTGCAAGCATAATATATCTCTAATATATGTATGGTTATATATCTAACCCCTATAGCAGATATAAACACAGGTGGAGCTGGGGTGGCACCTATGCCATGTGGTTAATGATGTAGGAGCAGATTAGGTGTGACCAATCAACCTGTATGCATAGAGTTTCATGACAGATCTTTGTATTCATTTTCAGAGATGCATTATATCTCTTCACAAGTGTTGTTTGTGTGAAGACGCTGTAGACTATGGTGCTGCATAAATCTGCCAATAAAAACTCCAAAGTGAAGATTCCCTTTGCTCAGGGAGTATTGAGCATTGATCACTGTGTATGAAGAACAGTTCATGCATGGAGCTCTCCTCTAATGAGCTTCATATTCGAATCAGGTAGGTAAAATAAGAGAGACATGCAAAATATTCTGAAAACTGGGTCAAGCTAGAACTATGATTGAGAACCACTGATATAGAGAATAGAAAGTAAGAAGTATAACCCTCCTGTTGTCTTACAAGGTTTGGGTACTGCCTAAGCTGATGTCAAAGAGCTAAAGTCCTTCGAAAAGTCCTTAAATCTGACTTTGGAAAAGGTGTAAGAACCCTTCCTCTGACACCAGACACTATGTACGAATTCCTTGCTTAATTTTGCTCACTCTACACTAATATAGTGCACTCAAGTGTGTAGGGGTAGAGAATCAGTGAACAAGTGAGTGATTTTAGACACAATGGAGCCAACAACAAGGGTTGATTCCTATTTTGGAGTCGACCCTGACTCTACTGCTATTCAGAGTCCAGAAAATGGCTATAAATAACCTCTGCCTTTTTGTTATCTCAAATCCCTGAGATAACTAGTCAGAGTTTGACAAGCTATAGCCGATGTGTCTTTTATTTAACCCAGCTCTTCACTTTGTTATGATATTTGATAAAATTAAACAGTCTGAAAATATAGTTGTCAATACAATCGTAATATTATAGGAAGGTGACTTTAAATGCCTGTTACTAAAATATTCATTTGACAGAATTGAATATATATTATTAAATGTGCACTCATTATTTTCCCATGTACATGCATTAGTTACTTTGATTTATTAGGACTTAGGTACTGCATTTAAAAGTGGTTCTTTACTTAAAGCGTCCTGTTAATTTACTCATTTATTTAGGGTACATTCCAAAATATCAGTGAGGGCAGTTATATGAGGAATGTATTGTGTTGTGTTACCTCTCAATCTGTGAAAGAAACTTGGTTTCAAAGATTCCCTTGGTCTTCAGTCTCTCTGTGATGCGACCGCGAAACAGAAAACCACGCTTTGTGAGATCAATAAGGATCTGCCTTACAATCTCTCCTAAATACATGCCACTGGTCATTTTTTCAAACCTGAAAAGGAAAGAGTAGCACAATGGATTATTTTTGAAAAACTTCAACACAGTTATTAGGGCCTAAATAATGATTTTGTGTATTTTATTTTCATTTAATTTGATATAATATTATAGTATATATGGTGTCATGGTGCAGTGGGTAGCACGATCACCTCACAGCAAAAAGTTCGCTGGTTCGAGCCTCAAATGGGTCAGTTAGCATTTCTATGTGGAGTTTGCATGTTCTCCCCGTGTTTGCGTGGGTTTCCTCCGGGTGCTTCGGTTTCCCCCACAGTTCAAAGACATGCGCTATAGTTGAATTGTGTAGGCCAAATTGTCTTTAGTGTTTGTGTGTGAATGTTTCCCAGTGTTGGGTTGCGGCTGGAAGGACATCCACTGTGTAAACTTGCTTAATTTCATATGCTGGATAAGTTGTCGGTTCATTCTGCTCTGGCGACCCCAGATAAATAAAAGGACTAAGCCGAAAAGAAAATAAATGAGTGAATTATAGTATATATTGTATATTTTAATGTTTAGTATATTTTAATTGATTAAATATTTAATAACAACAATAGTAAAATTACATTTGTATTTAGTAGCAAAAAACAAAAAAAAAAGCGTCAAATAAAAATTATATATATTTTTTGCTATTTAAAGACATTTTTTTTTGTGTATTACAACAGGTTGCTAACACCATTCCTATGTTTTAAGGGAATCATTATAGTATGCTGCCTCCATGTGGACAAACGCAGAAACCTTGCATTGCATTTACCTTGCACAATTGTGTAGATAACCATAAAAAAATAAAACTATATAAACTATACAGTATAAATACATAATATTAAAAATGTTATAATAAAACTATCGAAACATTGTAATATTTACCTTTGTTTCCCAGCATTGAGTGAGCCGCTGTCGACCTCTCTGTCATATCTGGTCCGGATGTCCTCAATATTATCATTTTCTCCAAAACCTCCCCACTCAGTGTTTACACACATCTGTCCTTCATCACCCTCAACAATCTCAATGTTCTTCATCTCCTCCATGTAACACACATTGCTTCCTGTTCCTGTAGAGTTAAGAATCATGCATGTTTGAAAATTATATTTCTTTCTGTACATATTTTGGTTTGTAATGAGGAGTAAGGTAGCCTAAAATACCACAGAAATGCATTAATACATACCAGCAATAAGACCAATCTGACATTTAGGGTCCTCATATGCACAGGTCATCATTGTGCCAACTGTGTCATTAACTATAGCTACGATATCGAGATCAAACTCCTGTAAAAACAAGTTATTATGTTAACATGTTATCAATGCAAGGCAAGTTTGTTTACTGTATATAGCACATTTCATACACAAGGGTAATTCAAAGTGCTTTAAATGAACAAGAAAGTTTAAAGAATCATAAATTAATCACAAAAAGTATAAGAAATAAATACAGCAAAGAATTTAAGTGATTTAACAGATTATAAAAAAGGAATATAATATAATATATATTTATTTTATTAAATGCCATGTCAGCAACAATCCCTATTTCAAAGGCAAGAACATTTCATTAATAAATACACAATTAAAAACCACAAACAAATGAATACATCAATTAGATAAGATTTTAGCTTTCATAAATGATACAAATTCTGAAATTTGCAGTTTAAAAGGAATATAAAAAAGAAAGCAAGATACAAATAGTATGTAAGTATTTAGGATGTAGCACAGTGCGGTATAGATTCAGCTTTTCACACCATCACAAACATCAAATAAGAGGACTACAAGCTACATTATATTTTTGTTGGTATGAGAAACTTAAGACCCTCAGGATGTCCTGACTCTGTATGCTATGTACTGTATTGTCTTACTGTTCAAACTTTCAAACAGTAAATCTTACAGGATTTAAACAGTTCTACTGTAGCTATCTATCATGAGCAAAGATTAGCGACTAGCATAGCATATGCTAACAATTATTAAAAAAACCAGTTGAACATGCTAACAATGTGCTAAAGTAAGCGATAAACATGCTAGTAGTGCATTGAAACAATGCTTTAAAACAGGTTAGCGATGTTAATCTTTGCTTCTAAACTTATTAGCAAAGTTTCAATTCATGCTACCATTACCAAACAGGATGGCATGTTAAATCAAGCAACACAACTGAAAAGTAACGTTAGTTATTTGTTAAAAAAAACAAAATGTTTTAGTGCTCCAGTTAGAAATAAGATAAATCGTTATTATTGTTTTAAATCAAATCTCTGAATGCATGAAAATGTAACCCAATTCATTAGTATTGATGATAGTGCTGCTACGCTTTAAGTGTAGGAGTGTGATCTGTAAAACTACTTTACTATGTTTGCTTTCTGCTCACATTTCGTCTTTTGATGGCCTCTCTCAGCATGTCCACAACATCATACCCTTCACAGTCTGTCGCTTTGAAGCCCTTTGTCCAGCAGACCAGATCTCCCTGAACAAATGGGCAAGAAAAATGACTTTGACAATCATTTGAGCACAGGGTTTATCTGTGTGTTTTAACAGGTTGAGTATACGTTCATTTATTTTTATAGACAATTAAAGAAACTGATAACTGGAGGTAGATGCTTTTTTACCTTATCAATACCTGTCTGATTGCACGGGAAAGAGAAGGTGAAGCCAAGTGGCAGACGAGTGTTCTTCATTCCCATATAGTCCAAGAAATCTGAGATACACTGAACGATGTGGTCAAACAGCTGAAATTAAACGGAAATAAATAAATAGGTCAGTATAAATTCTTGTTATTGTGCTGAGTTTTTTGGACTATATAAATTGTGTTAAAATGAAATAGGGTATATTATGGTAATAATATACATTATTATAATATACATACATCGTTAACTGTACAAAAATAATGAAAACATATTTGTTTATAGTGTTTTACCTCCTCTCCTGTGCCCTGCATAATCTCCAGTGGGATGGCATAAATTTTGTTGTACATCCGGACTGAATTTCGCATGCCAGTCCGAATCTTAACCACCAACACGCGGAAATTGGTTCCACCAAGATCCAAAGCAAGGTACTTTCCCCTTTCTGTGAAAGTAAAATTTACATCCTAATTACTCAGTTATCATCATGCTTAGACTTCAAACAAACAAGCAAATAAACAAACAAATAAATAAATAAGTAGGTATTTTCTATTACCTGTCCCATCTGGTGTCCTGTAAACATATGTGGGCAGCATTTTTACTGAAGCAGTGGGATGGGTTTCTTTTTTCAGGCCTCGTTCCAACTCAACATGCATCTTCTGCTTCACTTCCTGGAGCTGTGTGGAAGTCAAAGCAAAAGCTGCAAGGGTATCATCAATCTCTTTCCGCTGGGAGGCTAATCGCTGAGCCACGGCGGTCACCATAGCGGCACCTTTGGCACTGCCACTTTCAGACAGCACAAAACGCACATGGCAGTCTGGCACCAGATGGCGGACCACCTTGTGGAGCCTTTTGGGGTACCTTTAAATATCAGATAAAAGTATTTAGCCGCTTCTGATTTTAAATTAATCTCCTTGGATTTTACATTTGAGGAGAACTGACGTACTGTGGATGTGTTCTGTAGACCGTCCCATCCACTCCTACAGTAGTCCGAAGGGTCTTCAGCTTTTTGTTTTCTCTGATCCGTGTTAGGATGGCAGCCAAAGCTGCAGCCACCAGATTAGCTGACCTGAAGGACACGATGGTGCAGACATGCTGGACTGCAATACAGTCATCGTCACTGGGATTTAGTCCTAGGTCCTCCAGGATCTCCTTGGTGTTTTCCAAACCGCTTTTATACCTGGAAAAATCCTCAATTAGAATATGCACATATAGGGCTGCATTTACACTGCAGATCTTGATGGTCAATTTCGATTTTGGGACTGTATCCGATTTTTTTGATGACCTGCTTACATCATCTTTTAAAAGGGACTCGTATCCGATCGTCTGCACTTACACAGCACACGGCAAAGGCGCAATCACCAGGAAAAAAGAGTGGGCGCTGACTAACAGCTGATAATTAAAGAGGGCTCTTTTCTCTATTCCTGTATGTAATCTGTTCACAGCTTTTGACAAGCTGTTTTACTATAGTGTATGACAGAAAGGTTCTCATTTGTCCATCTTCTTTTCATATATAGGCTTTTTAAATATCTTTAGGCATCTTAATGTAATATCCATGGCGTGATTTATGCACTTGATGTAGCTATGCACTAGTTTTATTTTAGTTTATGTTGGTTTTGTGGTTTTGTTGGTTTAAATACCTGTGCTACATGACAATATAAAAGCTATTTAAGTCCTCGTGCATGAGATTTAAGGTTTGGGACTGTTCTGAACTGAAAGCATCAGAAATGACATCATTGGCTATGGTTTTTAATGATGCACAATTCGCATTGACAGGTGAAAATCTGACCTGCTTATACTGCAGACACGAGAACACAGATCTGATTCATATCTGATAAATTTCCACATATGATCAAAGCCTGAATCTGATTTGAGTATATCGGAATCCATGTGATTTGTTCCTGCTTACACGTACATGGACCATATCCGATCTGTGCCATATGGGAGAAAAAAATCGGAATTGAGTTACTTGAACAGTGCAGTGTAAATGCAGCCTTAAACTCCATCAAATAATCCCGAACACATCAATATGCAATGCCTAAAGTAATAGGAGGAGTGGTACACTGGCAAACTGTAGCTCAGAGTTAAAAACAATTACCCATTTTCATGGTATATTCAGTTTATAATTTTGAATATGTAAACTTACTGTTCAATCAAGCACATATGGTTGGTATGAAATGTTCCCTTGGTTCGAAGAGCATCCGAGATTTGGCCACGAAAGAGTAGACCCTTCTTGGCCATTCTTAGAAGGATAAGTCTCACAAGTTCTCCCATGTACATCCCACTCACCATCTTTTCAAAACTGAAACAAGAGTTAGAAAGATGAATAAAGACATGCTTCTTTGAGCTCCGTATGTTTCCTCTATGTTAATTACAGGCCTAATCAGAGGTTATCATGGGCAAGCTTTGACCCGCAGGCCTTGTTTTGGGACTTACAGCTGTTTTCCTGGATTAATAGAGGCGGCATCAATTTCACGGTCAAAGCTTGTAATGAAATCATCAAGAACACCATCATCTCCAAATGCCCCCAATTCAGTATTGATACACATTCTTCCTTCATCTCCCTCCACCAGGTCAATGTGCCGCATTTCCTCCATGTAACACGCATTGGTGCCAGTACCTGAGGAAACAGACAGAACCTTTAACTTTTGAGATGTCTTCTCCTATTTGAAGTAATGCATTTTTATGATTAGATTTAATTAAAGATATATTAGGAAAATGGTTCAGTCTAAAAATCTTACCTACAATAACCCCCACTTCACAGTTCTGGTCATCGTATCCACAGGTCATCATGGCCCCCACTGTGTCATTGACCATCGCCAGGACATCCACATCAAGATCCTTCATACACATCCAGACATAGCATAAACTTTTGGCAAGACATCATGACCACTCACAGATGAAGTCAATACCATTGATTGTCTTCTAACGAGGCCATATATTAATATTTGGATAGAATAGACATAGGCAAAATAAATGTTTCAATGTGTTGTTTGAAAGAAATGGGTAGGAATATATAGAAATATAATAGCTGTGAGTGACTGGACAGGGCCAAATAATTATGGCAAGATAACTAGGTCAGAGTTTTCCTAAAATGGCATGGCTTGGGTTGCTAATGTGGAAAATTTACCAACTGATGTCCTAGAGGGAACAAATACAAATGGATGACAGGGTGTTTGCCAACCAATACTCATCAGTGCTCAATGGTAATTAAGGGTATCATCTGTAGCTTGGGCTAATAGAGGGTGTACTTCAACACAAGACACCAAATTTTTATGATTTTAGGAGGAATGTGTCACAACACACAGTGCATTGCCCCCCACTGAAGGGATGCATAATGGTTGCCTGGCTGCAGACCATTAAGAGTGCCTACAACTATCTTTTGTGCACCATTGGAAATGCTTACAATTACCACCTGAGCATCAGGACAGGATCTTGGAGCAGTGGAATAAGTTCACTTTGTCCTAACAAAGTCCTACTTTGTATTACAACAGAAGATGTAATAATGTTGACAAATGTATAGACTTTGGCACAAATAGTTACTAAAATTTTAAAAAGCATTCATTACCAACATTTGAGTACAAAGTTCTTAAACACTGCTGATTGGTGTTGTTTTCGCATGCGCAACAGACACTGATTGGCTGCAATGATCATCACTTTACACTGATGCTCAGACACTGGAGTGTTTAAACACAGTGGATCGTTCATATATCTGCAAACTTCTGATAGACATGACTTTTAAATGCTCCATTGTCTCTGTATCATTGTAAGCTCTTGGTGATAAGTGGTGAAGTGATGATCACCCAATCACAGCCATATTTGTTGAGCATGTAAACACAATGGCCAATCAGCAGCGTTTAAGAATGTACTCAAATATACTATGTACTTGTGCACTATTATGTGGGGAGGTGAGGGCAGCAGGAAGCACTGTGGGTGCACACAACTTATTTATGGCAACAGTATTCTCCAGTGGAATATCTTTAAGCGGAATAATGAGACCTACACTTTATGCACCCAAGTGTGGTAGTCAATGCATGATCAATCAACAATACTGAACATGCTGCTTTCTACTTTAAAAAAAGTAAAAAAATACATACCCCAACTTTACGAATGGCCTTCCGCAATGACTGCACCACATTGGTTCCTTGAACACCTCTAACCTTGAAATTCTTCGACCATGACAGCAGGACACCCTGTGTCAACACAAACCAAATGGGTCAGTGAGGAGATTAACTGAAATGAATGTCTATTCTTCCATCTTACTGTCGTATTGATAAGGAAATCCATTTATCTCAGTGATTTGAGCACCTTGATCCAATTAAAATCAGACTTGAGTTCTTGTGAAATTTTATATAATCATGTCAGGGTTCAACTCTACCTCGTCTATTTTGGACTGTGCACATGGGAAGGAGAAAGTGAAGCCGAGAGGTTTTCTTGTGTGATTAATGTGGTGCTTCTGTAGAAAAGACTTCAAGGATTCTGCCACATGCTCAAAAAGCTGCAAAAAAAAATAGTCGTCATTCAAGAAAAATATATATGGAAGGTCATCTGAAATTGTCTTAATACATATTTACAATTGATTCATTTAACAGATGCCTTTATCTAAAGCGACCTAAAAATCAGGGTAATAGAAGCATTTACGACACAACATTTGCATTTGTAAGAATTGCAAACATTATTTTATATAAGAACTAACATAAATGTTTCTTAAATTTCATCAACATCATAATCAACACAGTGGAAAACCAAAATCTTATCCAGTAATCACCTCTGTTCCTCTGCCATTGACAATCTCTTCAGGGATGGGAAAGGTTTCACTCTCCATCTCCACTTTTCCCTTCCCATCTTCTGAAACCTTTACCTGGAGTACTTTAAATTTTGAGCCCCCCAGATCCAGTGCCAGGAATTCCCCCTTCTCTGAAGAACAAACATATAAATCAGATTATATATAAAAAAAGAATTTTATAATAAAGATATTGACTGGCAGCAGCTTCCCTCGTGCAAAAACGGTCACAATAAGCATGAAGTAGCTATTGTACAAACCTGAGCCATCGGGTGTTGAATAAACATGAGTCGGGAGCATCTTCACAGCAGCTGCAGCATTGCTCTCGCTTGACAGTCCCTTCTCCATCTCGAGCCGAAAGCGAGCTGATATGTCCTTCAGCTGATCTTCTGATAGGCGCATTGCATACAGAAATCTGTCTACCTGATGAGAAACACATTTATTACAGACACTACGGCCCAATCCCAATTCTACCCCTTAGCCCTTTCCCTTACCTCTACCCCTTATTTTGCAGGTTCAAATGAAGGAGTAGAGATGTCCCAATTCTCTTTAGCTTGAAGGTGTAGGGCTAAGTGAAAGGGGTACCCCTTCGAACAAAGATTTTTCAGGACCACTCTCGAAACCAAGGTGTAAGAAAATTTCTTAGAATACACCTTTCACAACGGCAGGATAGTTGCACCCGGAAGTAAGGAGATCCACAACTTAGTATTTTTTGTCATTATTACGACATGTGTTTTAATATAATCATAACCACGTTCATGTTTTACCATCATGCTTTAAAAAAAAACGCTAATATAAAAACCGCTAAATTTTGTGATCTATAATCCATAATCATAACTCCTGTATAGCAGTCCCACAACATTCTGACACTCGATGACACTCGAATACCGTGTCAGAGAAGTCTAGTGGCTGGGAACAAGCTTTTTACAGTGACTGCTATAATGTTAATGTTGTTTTTGGTGTGTTAACTTTGATGAATATGGCCACTGTGTAAATGCGCAGTACAGTTACGAGTTTATTTCCATGTAATGATAACATAATATATGCTTCAGTGATTTTCTGAAGATAAATAAAATAAATAAATAAAAATCAATAAAATAAAGCAACTGGAATAACTACAGCAGTCGCGATCATCTGATCTCATATGAAGCAAGAGATCACAATGACAAATAATGACATGCGTTGTTAGGTGTTGTAGTGCTGTCCCATTTTTTTTAGGGGTAAATTTTAAAGCCCTTCCCCTTTACACTTTGTTTTAAGGGCCAAGAGAAGGTGGTAGGGGAACAAAAATAGAATTGGGATTGGGCCTACATGCTTTGTTCTCTTGCCTGTCTGGCTTCATGTTTCCTTCCTTCTTTCTTATATACTGAAATAAACTAAATACACTGGCTGAAAAAAATATAAAAGACTAAATTCTGAATAATATATAGGCGATTTTGAGGGATGTAAACAATAGCAATAGTTCTATTATGTTTCCAGTTGTAGATCTTTCATTTTCAAAGCTTTAGAGAATTTAGAAAGCTCCACATTGATACTTTTTTTAATGACAACTGTTTTAGCATTAATTATAACTGAATCGCCTGTTACAGTTGAAGTCAGATTTATTAGCCCGTCTGAATTATTAGACCCCCTGTTTATTTTTTTCCCCAATTTCTGTTTATTGGAGTGCAGATTTTTCAACACATTTCTAAATATAATAGTTTTAATAACACACTTTCAATAACTGATTTATTTTATCTTTTCCATAATGACAGAAAAAAAATATTCTAATTAAAATTTCTCCACAAATAGAGTGTAAAGGTTTTTAAACTTGCTTGACATTGTTTTGGACTTTGCGAAAAAGGGTTCATACAAATAACGAGAGATGGAAACACATTTGCCGAATGAACTCTGACGTGGCAGACAATAAACCCATGCTATCAGTCAGCTATTGTCATTATGCATGCCTTGTTTACTCTTGGTTACTAGATTATCAATACTACCCTCAGTTGCAATTGGGATTTTCCCTTTTTTGAGACTTCTTGAGAAGGATTGAGAACCGGCTAGTGTGAACTGTAATAGTCTCATAAACATTTGTAGGGGTGGCATGGTGGCTCAGTGGTTAGCACTGTTGCCTCACAGCAAGAAGGTCGCTGGTTCAAGTCCCAGCTGGGACAGTTGGAATTTCTGTGTGGTGTTTGCATGTTCTCCCCGTGTTGTCTTGGGTTTTCTCGGGGTGTTCTGGTTTTCCCCACAGTCCAAAGACATGCAGTAAAGGTGAATTGAAAAAAATAGATTGGCCGTAGTATATATGTGTGTGAATGTGAGTGTATGGGTTTTTCCCAGTACTAGGTTGCAGCTGGAAGGGCATCCACTGTGTAAAACATATGCTGGATAAGTTGGTGGTTCATTCTGCTGTGGCGGCCCTTGATGAATAAAGGTACTAAGCCGAAAGAAAATGAATGACTGAATGTCTTGTGTTTGTATATCATATATGTCCAAAACCCTTGGAATAGATGGCATTGTGTTGCATGAGAACATTCTGGCTCTTTTTTTTAAAGCTAAATTCTGGTTGCTATTCACTAGCAATATACGAAGTAGCACAAGCTGTTGTTTTTTTTAATACTGCTTTTTGTGGTCTGAAAAAGAAAGAGGTACTTTGGAAAATGAAATCTTGTCTTATTGTTTATGTTTGTGCAAACAATCCATTTTAACTCCTCTGTATTTGCTTAAAAAATGACTTTTATGACTTGCTACTAAAGTGGGATTAAGGTTTACCACCAGTAGGGATGTGGTATATGGTAAGGTTTATTAAAAATGACCAAGCGAAAAGTAATATTAATACTGTCGGTGACACATGCAATTATATGACATGGTGATAGATAATATAGGCGTGTTTCTGGAGATAAAAGCTAAACTGCTGTAAAGTTAAGCAGTCTTATTTAGCTGTCAAATATGTGGACATATGTTTGATCTAAAGGCCTGGCCGCATAAACAAGGATTTTTAGATTATAAAAAGGATTCTTTTCATATTGTAAAAAAAATAAAGTGGTTCTTTAAAGATTTGTTCTCTGAAAGGTACTTTAGGAGCCAAAACTGGAACCTCTACATTTTAGGTTATGTTTGAATGAAAACAGGTCAAATCAGTATTTAGTTTAAGTCTAGAAAGCATTTCACCTTTGCTCCCTACATTATTCCCATCCTTCAATTTGTGATCGTGTATCACTTCAAAGACATAACTATTATTATAAAATATGAGCAGGTGTGTCCAACCTGTAACTGGTAATGTATAACAGAAAACGTCATTGTAAAGATAAGATGGATTAAATACAAGATGAATCATTCGAAAAAGAGCCCTGCAATGACAAATAATCAACAACAAAATGACATTGTTGAAACCTTAAAGCCAACACAAGATTTACATTTTCATGGTTAAAAAAAAGAGATCCATGAATGCAGGTGAGGAGGTCAAGGTCCTCTCCCCTCGCTGTCAGTAATCTGCTCACCGAAAGCGTGTGTGAAGGAGTTAATGATTCCACAGGCAAATCACAGTGAATCACATTCAAGAAAAATCCAAAATACACTGATAAAGTCAAACAAAGCCTTTCTGTTCACTCAGAGAATGAAGCAAATTGAAGTCAGTAAAATACACTGTAAACTAAATCTTACTGCCTTAAAGTTGAGTTGAATCAAATGAACTTTTCTAGTCATCTCAACTTACTTTAATCAAACTGACTAAAAATATTATGTTAAACTTTGTATAACTTAAATCATTTAGTTGAAACCTGATTAACTCATTAAAATATGTTAAAGCAACATACAAATATTTGTTGTCTTGAATTTTTGTCATGAAACTTAATTCATCAAAGATGTACAGAACATTTCTTTTAGATACTATACACGCTAAATAACTTGTTTTAACCCAATTTGAGTTAAATATGGAAAACCTAGCAGCTTAGTTAAAAACTTTTGTTTAAAAAAATAAATTGCACTCAAAAAATGCTGCTTGTTCAAATTACCTATTTAAAATGAGCTGAAACAACACAATTCTTGAGTTTTTTGGGGGATCAACGTAACTTTTTGTTCAATTCCCTTAAATTTGTAATAAGTTAACGTATTTCCTTAATATTTTCCCAACCCAGCATTTTTCTAAGAGAATGTTTGACTAAAAACAAATGTTTGAACAAGTCAGTAGTGCTTTTTAAACACTTACCTTCTTGATCTGATCCTCCTGCAGCTTTGAGAAGTAAAAGGACAACAAATGAACCGCGAACATCTTGGCTTCCTAATGCAGGTCAGACTAAATGAACGGTCAGATTTAGATGTGTTCCCCTTAAATTGTTTGACCTCCTGCTTCCTCAGGAGTGATTCTGGTGTGACTGAGACAAGTTTTTTTCGGAGCTTGTGTTCCACTAAGCAGTTCGGTGCATGCTTTTCCCTCCCCTTTTACGGCTAAATAATTAATGGCTAAGCCTTGTTCGGCCCCTTAGCTCTCCAGTCTCTCCTAGCAGCTTGTTTGGGTTTACTCTAACCAGAAGAAACACCTTAAAACAATCACAGGCCAAACAATAGATCAAAAAGAGTTCAGTATGTAAACTTCCTTAGTAAAAAGAGAGAGAGAGAAATACTGAGGTACAGCCTTATCTGCTTTCAGCAGGACAGAGTTGACAAGATCAGTCAGAGTCCAGATGAGATCAAGCCTGTAATGGTAAGGTAATAAACATAGCATAAATGTGTTTGTAATACAGCAGCAAAGGTTTATGGGCTGAAAAATTGTTGAAAGATTAAAATGTGGATCAGGTGCTCGGCTAATGCGGTTTCTTTGGTAACAGACAGAGATTAACTGGGGCCTTCAGCAAACACAGAGCAGATTGAGCTACTAAACAGTTTCAACACTTCACTTCTTTTGCTGACTCATTCAGTGAGCATCACAACTACCAAATCATGCTGTCAGATCATTCATTTTAGTGGACGGTTAGAGACAAATTATTGATCATTTTTAAACATTCACATTAGTAATAAAAAATGAATAAAACCATAGTTTGCACTCTTCGAAAGGGAACCGATGATGTTATAAGCTGTTATCTGCAAAGAATGAAAAATGTATAGGCTTATAGCATGCTAGAGAGACATTTTTTATTAAAACTAAATGCAAAAGTTAGAGCCAAACTGATTACCTATAATTTTATGGATAATCTAGTTTATTTTCATTATAATTTTTATGAGTTACATATAAATTATATGATTGAATTATTGGTGGAATTAGTGCTTATTACATTTTAACTCAAAGTTTATTGCTATAAAAAATAAAATCTGCATTTTAAGTCATATTCAGACATATCCCAAATGTTGTCAGAAAAAGCAGAAGACATACTTAAAGGGCATCTATTTTTACTCCTTTAACGAGATGTAAGATAAACCTTTCATGTCTTCAGAATGTTTCTGTAAAGTTTCAGCTCCAAATACCTATCAGATAATTTTTTATAGCCCCCAGAATAGTCTCATTTTGGTGTCTGAGTACAGCGTAGCTGTTTTTGTAGCCTGTGGCTTTAAATGCAAATGAGCTGCCTCTCCCCACCCACCACGTGCTTGTCTGTTTTTCCTACGTTACATAAGATAAACAGCAGTCAGTGACAGAGACAGACACGGATGAAGCTGATATACAGCTTATTAGTCAAAAATATTAAGTATGTTTATTTCATGTATTTTTGTTGGAGTTTATTCAAGCCTTTCTGAAATGATGAGTCACACAAATGCTGTTTGCTGTACACACACACGTATAAGTATTTACTGACACCATGCGGCTGTGGTTTTTTATAGTGGTTAATAGTTACACATGGACTTTACTGTCTTTACAAATATGCTCTGATTTAAAAACATTTTAAACTTATAAAACTCACAGAGAGTTGAAACAAATATTTTAATCTGTTTTTTTATTTTTTTTAAATTCTGTAGACGTGTATTAGGGGTGTAATGATTTATCGTGGTACGATTTATTGAGATGCAAAAATGTCACAATATGCATCATGGCGTTATGATGATTTTATTACGATATGATGTTCGTTTTTCTCTTATTAGTTGAGCTGTTTGCACATGAGCTACGTTCCACCTGCTGTCGCACGTGAGTTCAGATTGCTTGAACTAGCAGCAGAAACGTTAGCAGGCCAAGATGAGTGGAGTTGAAATACATTATGTCCCATCCTCTCATAGTCAGATGTCTGGCAACATTTCGGTTTTAGAGTCATTGCTTTAAACTCATCTGCTTTTTGACACGCATACTGGGTCAAACACAGCCTAAGTTTTAAAGTCTTCACATTGTTTTACATACTTTGCTCAGCGACATGGACACCTCCTAATGGTGTTAAAAGAGTCACATAGGTACAATTCACCCAAAAATGTAATTTCTGTCTTCATATAATGCTGTATTCGTGGCCGCAAATTTACACATGACGTGAGCTGCTGACCGTGAGCTGTTACTACAGAAAGGGTGGGCGCGCACGTCTACTTTAGTAAACAGAACCTGCATAGGCTGTGAATAACAGGTAATAAAGTTGTAAATAACATTCCGTTTTTGGCACAGAGTGATCGTTTGGGAGCCACGTGGGAAGTATGAACAGCACTTAGCAGTGAAAATGAAACTGAAAGCATGCACGTCATTTAAATAATCATATCGCATTTTAGAGTTGTGATTTCAACAAGCATGTATTGTTTTCCCATAGCGAACATGGAGGGTTGTGCATGAGAATAAATGTTTAAATGGAACAATTCAATGGATAAGCTAGAGCGCTACCTCGAGCAACAAGCTGCTATAACAAGCTGCAACGCTTTTGAGTTAAAAAGGTATGCAAAAATGCACGTCAACATAATACACTTGATAGCGCTGACATCAGCGACGCCGAAGAAATAGTAAACCTGCTTAAACCAATGGTAAGGGCCACGACTGTCCTGTCTGATGAAAATATGGCCACCATGTCACTCATCGTGCCCAACATGAAGACAGCCATCCAAAAAAACCTCTCAGATACACAGAAGTTGAGGATTATCTTATAGAACTGGGGATTACCTGAAAATGTAAACATTTAGATTTGTTTTGTCAAGAAACTGCAACCAAGCAAAGCCTTCAGCTCTTACTGTTAAATTCACTTGAAAAGTATGATCTTTATCATTTGTGCACCTTTACTTAAATTGTTCCTTAATTTTGTGTCTGTCATTTCAATAATATATTATAGAAAAGTTTTAAAATTGTTTTATTTTCCAGAGACAGGGCTATTTAATAAATTTAAAAAAATTAAAATTAAAAGGAAATTAAAAAAAGGGACTTTTGTTTATCATTCCGATATGACAGTGAACACACTATACATGCACACAGTTCTGTCCTACCAGCTTACAAAAGTTCATTTCCCTCATAGATGCCCTTTAATACATATTTAAATATACTTAACTTTAAACTTTAAATAAACTTTTAACTAATTGTTTAATTTGGTAATGTGGACTAACAATGAATAATACTTATACAAAACTAAATCTTAACATTAATTTCTCCATTTACTATTGCATTTCAGTCGTAAGTTATATGAACAAATAATTTACTGAATTGAAAATAATAACAACATAGGTTAATAAATCCTGTAATAATATATAATGCTTATGTAAAGTCTGACCCTGTTACAAGAAAAGTTCTACTTTGCATTTATTTATTTTTTGCTGTACAAGGCTGTTGCAGTAAGATGTGGATGACAAAACCACTGAAATAGCTGTAGTATTGCATTGGCTGAGTTGAGTTCCTAAAATAACATCAGATTCAATAACCATGCTAAAAATAGCAGAGGGTAAATACAAATTATTGGTTTTAAACAGCAGGTTCAGTGAACTGCAAGGTCAGATGCAGCTTCACAATTTTGCTAGTCATGGGAACAAGAGGTTTTCTTATATAATTAAACAACCATTGCATCAAATTCTAAATATCAGCAACAGAGCCATACAGGTTAACTTTTTTTTTTTTTTTGCACTAATATTTAGAGATTGTTGATTATTAGTAATTAACTACTAGCAGTTGACAAAGTATAAGTAGACTGATTGGATAATACATTCAACCAACTAAAGTTAAATTTGCAACCATATGTCATCTTTTCATAACCATTTCCTTACAGTCTGCTGATTCTTTAATTGGAGTTATGTGGCACGTAGTTGTAAGGTTATGTTGAAAACACACTATAGAAAACACTCTCTAATACTTGCAATATAAACCTTCTTACTAAAATGAAAGTACACTACATTTATAAAGGGTGCTTCACACAGGTGAGTGGGCTTGACAAACCACCTGTAAAAACACTCTTCTATCTCGCTCCTAAAAACAAAACAAGAAACCTTACTCTAGCACTTAATTCTCTGAGTTTTAAGAGTTGGGGTCTTTCTCACTACAGTTTGAAATTTTTGTATGCATTTTTTCATATTCATATCCGAAAAATTTGTCACATACACAAACCTTGCACAGTCTAGTGCTTATTAATTAATCCATTACAAAAAAAAACTTAACATTTCAGAGTCAATTCAAGAAGTGATACTTTGTTCACCTCCAAAGTAGACAAAAATCCCTTTTACACATACTGACCTTTCCGGAAAATTACCGGTAATTCTCCAGAAAGGTCTGTATGTGGGAACAGGCCCTTTTTGTAAATACCGGTAAATTTATTCTATTTTCATGAAAGAGAAGTTGTAACATTACTGGTATTACTGCTTCACGTTTAGAACATCTACATGTATTTTAGCCAATCAGAACACTCAGACGCATTCATGTCCGCACGGTTTATGAGAATAAAAACCTGTGAATGTTTTCCCATTTAGCTGTTAATGTTAGTCGGCTAACATTTCTATGTTCCTGCTTAATGCCAACTGTGTAAATAATTATCGATAAAATGCTTATGATAAGCTGTTGTTTGTTTACCTTCAAGCTCTGATGCATGTACACGTAAAGCAGCTGGTGAGCACCTGCACACACACATATTATGAACATCTCGACATGCGAAAGTGTTTCTCTATGCTTTCAACAAAGTTGTTCACAATACTGATCCATCCACAGAGGCTGTAGTCAAATATTTACAAATACAAGCGCTGCCGTTAAGAGCTCATTTCTGGTAAATGATGTCAGAATTTACCGGTATTTTGAAATGGATGTGTGAATGGTCCTTTCCGGAAAAAATTCAGTAACGTCCTAGCCTGTTTTAACAGCGCTTTTTTGAATTCTGAAAAAAGTCTTTCCAGAAATCTTCCGGATATTTACCGGTATCATTGTGTGAAAGGGGTTAATGAAAGAGGAGTATGCTACATATTGTGTTTATCCAATACTACATTTGACTCATTAGCCACTTTCACACATACAGACCTTTCCGGAAAATTGCCGCTAATTTTCTGGA